GCAGATCTCTGTGAGTTCAAGGCCAGCCTGGTCTACATAGTGAGTTCCAGGACAGCTGGAGCTTACAGGGAGACCCTGCTTCAAAAAGACCACAAAAAAAAAAAAAAGTGAACCAGAGATGCCCAAGCCACAGCTCTGAGGACCACAGGTACCCTGTCCAGTGTGAGCAGTGGCTACTGCCATTGGTTCTGGGTCAGCCTTGGACCTGGTCATCATGTGCAGTTGAGGGAGGTCTCCTCGCCTGGTCTCATGGTCCTTGCTTGGTGCAGGTCTCGGTGATGTCCCAGGCAGAATGGCAATGGGGACACTTGGTAGGATGAAGCCCTCAGGGAGGAGTGGGATGGGAGGATGGAAACATTCATCTTCCGTAAGGTTAGGGAAGAATAGGGTTTCTAGGAAATCATTTGTCAGGGAGGGGGGATGCTGGTGCTGATTTGAATGCTGATTGGCAGGAGATTGGGAAGGAGAGAAAGGGAGCTAGGGTGGGTGGGTGACTGGCTCTGCCCTGCTAGCCCTAGCAGGCTGATGGCTGGATGCTCAGAGGTTGCTGAAGAGTTCGTTTTTCTTGCTCCAGTCCATCTGCGGGGCCCGCTTGCTGCTGCGCTTCTGGTGGGCCCGCTCCTTAGCCACAGCCAGGGAGATGTTGAAGTCCAGGATAGGGTCAGAGGAGGAGGAGGTAGATGAGGGCTCCGTGGAATCCTGTCTCTTGGGGCTGTCTTGGGAATTTAGCTGTAAAGAGGAGGGAGGAGTCAATGTCTACCCCTCAGGGCTCCTGGTCCTTGGCCTCAGTGAGGTGGATCCCTTGGGGCCATGCCCAGGGAAGCCAGGTCACAAAAACAGAATGTGCCTTAGCATGTGACCTCAAGCCAGCTAGTGTGCTAGGAACCAGAGTGGCCTGGGCCTGGGAATTGGCTTCCAGTAACAGTCACCAACCCCCACAGGGCCAGCCTACCTCCTCACTGGTATCACTGGAAGCTGATCTTGCCAGGGCTGGCCTGGGGCTCTCGGAAGCTGCCTCCACTAGGGCTTCACGACTATTCTCCTGGCACAGAGAGGAAAAGTGTGGGTTGGCAGGGGATGGAGTAGGAAACCCCTGATGAAGGAGACTGAAGACATCACCAGAGGAGGGTCACCCAGACCTTGGCCATGTAGCCAAATTCTAGATTTACATTTCTGCATTCCTAAGAGGATTAGGGGCAGCCTGGTTCTATCCATCACCTGGGCAAGGGGTGAGGGTTCCCTGAATTGCTTTCCTCATCCTCCCCAGCATTTCTGAGCGCTGACTCACTCTCTGGCCCAGTGGCCCAGGAGGCACTTCTTGGAGCCACCAGGGCCTGTTCTGGCATGGGGAACAAATGTGGTTCCTGAGCCTCTTGCAGCCCTCTCCAAACCTTAACCCCAAAGCAGCCAAGCAGGGTCTTGAAAGAGTAAGGTGGATGGAGAGTTTTAGAACCATGGGTGGGTGACAAGGCTTAGATCATGGCTCGAGAGTCTTGCCTCCACTGGGTCCCTGAGGAGGAAGCCTTCAATCAGCAGACCTTGCTGACTCCCCACTCTGTGGTCTGACTCAGAGACAGCCCATGCTTGAGTGGGGCCTTTTGCTAGGGTGTGAGCTTGGCACTCAGCCCCTTCTTGGGTCCCTCCATGGCCTCGGCTGCCACCCAGCTTCACCCCTTTCCCTTCTGCCCAAGGAGGAGGGACTTTGTTCCTCCAACCCAGACTGGAAGTAGCAGGGCCGGCAGCACTGCCAGACACTGAGGCTCTGTTCTTGAAGGGAAGAATGGCCTCTTCTGTACAGTGGAAGTTGGAGGCAGGGGCTGTCACCCAGGATGGTGGGCTGCAGAGGGGCCCCAGCCAGGCCTTTCCCAAGGGACAGCCTTGGCCTCTCACACGGTCTGGGGTCCTATAGCTTGGAGCTCAGGAAGGAACTGGGCTCTACTGTGTCAGCCTGAGCAAGGCTCCCATCCACATCACCGCCCCCACGCCAGAGATTAGGGTACAGGACCCCTTACCTTCTGTATTTCTCCATTGGTAAAGGGTTCCGGCAAGGGGCCTAGGTGAGGGAGAAAGCAGAGGTCAGTCCAGAAACTTCAGGGGAGGAGGCCAGAGCTAGGGCTTGGGTGGCTCACCAGACCTCACACCCAAGGTCAGTGGTTACAACTTTTTTTTTGCGGCAACCCACTGTAAGTACATTTGACATTTTGATGACCCAGTACACACAAAGATTGTATGACAATTTCAGAAAACAAGTCTTACCCGTACTGCAGTGCAATGCTTTGCTATTTTCAATTACATTTTCATTTTAAAATGTGCATTTGGCAAATTTGGGGAACAGTTTTAGGGGCCATACTTGGGACGCTACTTGACACTTCTTGGCAACCTATGATGGACAGGACAGCTCCCCAGAACAAAATCATAATTATTTTGTACAATGCTGGGGATCAAACAAAGGACCTGCTGCATGCTAGGGTAACCTGCTACAAACATCCCTTTGGGGCTGGACAGATGGCTCAGTGGGTAGAGGCACATGCTGCTTGATGACCTGAGTTCCATCCCCAGGACCCCCAGGGTAGGAGGAGAGAATTTCTGCAAATTGTCCTCTGACCTCCACATGCACCCTCTGCCCCCTTCCAAAAACATGTTTAAAAAATACTTTTTTTTAAAAAGTCTGTAGGGCAGGCCTGTTTTTCACAGGCATCCTAGGTGTTGGTGCTGTGACAGCAGACTGGGGCCACACCCCAGATTATAGCTGGCACCAGCTGTCTTGGAGAGACAATGCCATCTTCTATCTGCCATCTGGAAACAAGGGGACAAGAAGGTTCAAGGACAGTCCTAGGCGGTGGCAGGAGGGGCCAGTGAGAGAGAAGCTGGGCCAGGGGTCACCTCCCATGTGGCCTGGGGGACTGGGGCCGTTCTACCTTCAGGGACAAGTCAGCATGGGGGAGGCTCTTCTGAGCTCTTAGGTTATGATACACATGCATCTTTTCTCTTGTCCTCCTGTCCCTAGTCCAGGGTACAGCCAAGCATACCTGACTCATCTTTTCCTTCCTTCTGACACCCCTAGCCTTCCAGTGGCCACAGGACAGGAGTCCTCTGGTACACTCACTCTCCCCTTTCCTATAGTCCTCTCCCTGAGCAGTTCCTCTGGTTGGAGGCTGTGATCTCCAGGCCAGATGGACAAAAGAGAAAACTGGGTGGGTGGGGTGGGGGTTGAGAAGGGTGCTAGAGGAGGCAAGGGACGGTATCTGAGGGACTGAGTGGACTCGAGGCTTCACCTATGTATGCTCCATACCGGGTCCCCAGGAGCAAGGCTAGGGCTTCTCTGGGACTTAGGCCTTAGGCCCTTACTGGGGAAGAGGATTATTACCTGGTTTTCATGAACCCGAGATAAGATAATGGGGTCACTGAGGACCCTGCATCAGGCCAGATGGGGATAGGAGTGCCCACTGTGTACCCTTCCTGCTGGGGATCTGAGTTCTGTGGACCCTGTCCTCCAAATACAATACTGAACCTCCAGGAGGCCCCACCCACTGCAAAATCCAGACAGGTTTCACTTTCAGCATGGCACAGGAGGCTACCCCTCCAGAGCCATCTTCTCATGAAGAAAGCCCAGACTAGGAAGCAGAGGATACTCAACCCCTCCTGCCTAGTATAGCAGCCCTACCCCCTTTGGCTTGACTTGGGCAGGAGGTGGTACCAGGCTTGGCAGGATGAGGGTGGGGGAGGGGGTGGGCAGGGGCCCAAAGATTGAAGGAGGACCCACTGCTCTCTAGAGCCAGCAAGCCTGAGTTTCCAAGGCAACCTGACAGAAAGGGGGAGGGAGCACTGGGCTCCTGTCACTGGACTCTGATCTGCTCAGCAAAGGCTGGAGGCTGCCCCAGAGTTAACCCTTTCCTCCAGAGACACACTTCCTGAGGACTCTCTGCTCTCTGGCTTTCTGGACTAGAGTGGGGTGGGGGTGGGTGGGCGCTCAGGCCAGGCTGTGGTTCTGAGGCTTCAGCTGGGTATCCAGAAACTCTACCTCATCTTTCATGCCAACTGATTTGCTGTCACCTGCCACCTTCAGACACTCATGGCCCATCCCTGCTTCCACTCTACCAACCCACACTGCTGATTCTCCCCTGAAAATGGGAGAACAAGCCAGGAAGCCAGCCACTCTCACACAAAGCCTTAAGCACTGGCTCCATTCCTGGCTTCGAAGCACCCAGCTGTGACCCCACTCACCATTTAAGTGCTCCTGAGATGGGATCACTTTGCACTTCCTGAAGAATTCATCTGCTTCCTTGTCTACCACCAGCAGCTTGGCCTCATCCCCTCCTGCCTTGATGGCAGACACCACATCCCCATGTTGCTTGCCCTCCATGCACACACCGTTGACCTGTGAGGTGGGGTGGGGACAGGGGTTACCCACACAAATCTCTGTGCTTGGGAGGACAGGTAGATATCCAACCTGGGGACACTACTCCCTCATCTCACAGCCCTGAACCAGCCAGTGGTCCTCCATTTGACAGTCAGCTGGGAAGCAGGACATGTAGGAAGAGCCAAAGAAAATACCCAGAGGGGACTACACAAACACAGCTGTGAGTGAGGACCAGAGGCCTGGACTGGGCTGTCCTTCCACCTCTCCCTCTGAGCCTTGGTTTTCTCACGTGTAAAATGAGAAGTCTTGGGAGAGCTGATCTCCAGCTCTAAGGTTCTCACACTCTGTGATTCTGGGACCAGCCCCAGCATTTAGTTCACATTTCCTCTCTCGTGAGCACAGCCCAAGAGCACAGAGTGTCTCAACACTGAACCCAGGAGAGGGGGTTTAACTCTTCCCCGTGCCTGGCACTAAGTGCTTAGGCATCAGGAAGGCTGGGTATCTGGCCCCTGGCATCTACCTGGACTTTGGCAGGTAATCATGGATGTAGAGTGTGTAGTAGAGTCTGAGTGAGGATGGGAAGTCAGCCTATCCATGTGCCCACCCACCACCCAATACTCTTCCTTCCGTCTCCCTCTATCTACCTGTGTAGCTGCCCAGCACCCAGCATCTCTGGATTGGCCACACCACATAGGCTAACTGCAGTAGATGCTGTGATAGCTGTCCAATGATCAGGAAGGAAAAACCTGGAAGAATCTGGAGAACAGAGTGAGGGCATCACCTCCACTATGCGGTCCTGAGCTCGGAGCCCAGAGGCCTCAGCTGGTGAGTCTGGGTCTACTGCTCGGATGAATTGGCCTGGCTTAGACTTGTCACTGTGCAGGTTGAAGCCGTAGCCACTGGGGCCTTTCTTCATGACACAGAGCCGAGGCCGGAGTTCACGCTGTGGGAATCAAGAAGGTCTATGTCATTCCACAGTGTCCCAATCCTGCCTTCACTGCCCTCTCCCCAACCCCACTTCCCTATCTGGAGGGATTTGGAATGCTCCAACTGTGACTGTATTCTATAGAGCAATGCAAGGAAGAGAATCTGGCCCAGGGTTCAGAAGATGGGTAGACAATGAGCACTGCAGTGAACTGAGTAGCTCTGGGCAAGATACTGTCCCTTCCCAAGGCCAGCTTCCCTCTTTTGACAATCTGTTACTCACAAGTTGTTTGGGTCTTATCCTTCTCCACCCATGGCTCATCTGGCCCTCCTGGGCTTGGCTGGATACTTGAGGCTCATAAGTGGGCACCCTGGCCCCTGTTATCTGTTCTCTATGTGGGGGAGGCAGGGGCAGCTGTTTACTGAAAGCTGGCCAGCATGTTTACAGTAAAGCCTTTCATCCCCCACCGGCTCCTTTCTTGCCACCAACAAAGCCAAATGGCCCAACTAAATGGGAACTGGATAATCTGAAATCTGGTAGGTAGCAGGGTAAAGGGTCCTGGAGTAGATGGGGCCATCCTTGGGGGTTCTGCAAACAGCCAAGAATAATAGGCAGCAACAGGACCTGGAGGTGCTCCTGCTTCTAAGGATGCACATCGGGGAGGAGGCCATGAAATGCAGGGCTGGGCCTAAGTTATCAGAATATGACCATGGCTTAGAAAGTAGGACCTATTTCATTTATTTATTTATTTATTTATTTATTTATTTATTTATTTATTCACTTATATTTATTTTGTGCATGTGGAGGTCAAAGGGCAATGTGCAGGAATTGGTTCTCTCCTTCCATCATGTGAGTTCCAAGGACTGAACTCAGGCCATCAGACACTTGATGGCAAGTGTCTTAACCCACTGACCCCTCTTGCTGGCCCCCAGTAGGACCTCTTACTAGGACACAAGCAGATGTCTTTTGCATACCCTGACACTCAGCTGAGAACAGTTTTCAACATCTTCCAAGTAGCTCAGCTCTGAAACTACAGCCTTGATGCCCACACTAACAGATAACCAGAGAGAATATGGGTGTAGGCCTACAGAAGCTAAAGGTCAAGCATTACTCTGCCCCCAACTCCAGGCCGGGGGCGGCCTGCCGACTGCTATCCAGCTGCCTAACCCTGAGCTGTTACCTAGCCTCTCAGGCAACAAGGTTCGCCCACTAGCTGTGTAACCCGGGGCAAATCATTTCCTTCTCTGATCCTCAGGGTCTTCATTTATAGATGTGCTTACTGCTACCTGACTCCCAGGGTGGTAGTCAAGGCCCAGTGAAATAATGAGATGGCATAAAGCAACACTTTGGAACTCTAAGTTCCTGTTCCTGTGCATACCTGGACTTTACCATTGTTCTCACTACTGAGGCATGTAACTCTGAGATGTGAGATTGGGTGGGGGGAGGGCTGTGCCTGGCTACTCAGAAACCCAAATCCTCAGCTGGGAGTGAAGGAGGGAAGGGAGTGGTGGGTAGGAGTAGAGGGAGAGCTTAAAGGCCTCTGGCCTCTCCTTGCCAGAGTTTTGGTCCCATCCGTTCATCCCGAGGGTGGGGGCTCAGTGGGTTGAAGTGCTTGCCCCCAAGCCTGAATTAGATCTCCAGGACCTACATGGTTGAAGGAGAGAACCAACTCCCACCAGTTGTCCTCTGATATGTGCCATGGCATGCATGTGACCCCCCCTCCCATGCATACACACAAAATACATTTTTAAAATGTGAAAAAAAGAATGCTTGGGAATGCCAGACATGGTGGTGTGTGTTTAATCCCAGCACTTAGGAGGCAGAGGCAGGCAGATCTCTGTGAGTTTAAGACCAGCCCGGTCTATAGGGGTTACAGGGAGACCCTGTCTCAAAAAGACCAGCAAAAAAAAAAAAAAGAAAAAAACGACTGGCTTGGGTAGGTAGCTCCATGTGCTGTTTCGGGATGTCAGAGAGGAGTGTGGTGAGGCCAGAAGACAGAGAAAGGAAAGCACTTGCCCTAGTGGCCACTTAACCAAATCTCTGCTAGGGGTCTCTTCACCTCAAACAACAAAGACAACCAAATGAGCAGCAAAAATTAAGTACCCACAAGCGCGCCTCCTTTCCTCAGCCCATCCAGTACCTCACCCTGCTGTGGCCCAGCCCCTCCTGCATGTCCCCCAGCAGTTGGGACATGTAGTTCCGGGAGTGAGGCTTCTCAGCTTTTGAGCTAATCCCTCCACAAAGCTGCCGGCGGGCCCTCCCCCAGGCTGCCTAGGTGAGGCGGAACAGGTCTGACCAGTTGGCACCACCAGGACCGGCTCAGCTTTCTGCTTCTGCCAGAAAGCTCCCCCTGTGGCCCTTCACTCTGAGAAAGAGGCAAATCTTAGCTCCAGTGCTGTTCCTCCCCACCTTCTCAACGGTTCCCTCTCTCTGAAGACTTCCCATAGCAACCTGGCTGAGGCTGGTCAACTTTCTTCATGAGTCAGGGAAAGTGGGGTTCAGAGAAGTGAAGCCCACTGCCTGGTATCACAGAGCCAAAGTCCCACTAGGGTCTCTAACTACAGACCTGTGCTTTTTTTCACCCACATTGGGCTTGTTCTTAAGGATTCAGAGTCTGGCAGCCCATTTAGAGCCAAGGCCAGTGATGGGCCCCAGCAGGAACTAGTGAAGGGCAGAAGATGGGGGCTCTCCTCACATTAACTGATGGCCTGGGAGCTGCTGAAGCCACAGCCTTCCTTCGCAGAGCTCTGTGCCTCTTGCAGCCAGAGCTACAGCCCGAGTGTAAGGATAAAGCATGGCCTGGGTGACAGTCAGCATGCCTGGGCTAGCACTGCGGCTAGAACCAGGCTGAGGGTGAGAAGAGACAGCTTCCTGGTTGGCAGGGTTGGGCTTGTGATGCCCACCTTCCAGTACAAGTCCGAACTTTCAGGTGCTCAGCAGGTGACACCTCTAGTGACACATGTCATCAAAGTTCAAAAGCTTGTTTTGTATCTTGTTTTTTCTGCCAGTGTGAGGACCAGGAAGAGTCACAGGACCCTGTTTAAGGGACTCAGACACTCTCTGCTCTTTGAGTGGCTCTGTGGTGGCTTCAGAGTCTAAGGATGGCAAGGCAGGATGATTGATAAATCCACGTAACTCCCATGCAGTGCTCACAGACTTAGAATACACTAACTGGTCCCTCTCCCAATTCTCTAGAGGTCCTACCTTCAAAAGTGGGTATGTATGAGAGAGAGAGAGAGGAAGTGGGGTAGGGGATGTTTCTGGTATTTCCAGGGAAACTAGCCAGTTTCTTCCCAGCCATACAGCTGTCCCCAGGAGGTGTCTCTTGCAGCTGCTGAGTCAGCCCATCCCAGCTTGGGTGGAGCTCGAAGGAGTCTGGTGGGGGAGCAGGCCCTGGGGCTCTGTGTGGCCTGGCCTGTGGTTCACAGGTCTAGTGCCAAGTAGATGGGGGAGGGGCAAGGTACCAGAGCCAAGACTTGGGTTCTGCCTCTGGAGAAGGGGATAAAGGGGGAAAAGTCCATAACATCTTGGGTTTGGTTTATACATCCCATCACCCCAAGTGGCCTTTAGTGACTTTAGTGCCAACTCCAAAGGGGTACGAGCGTGTGAGCGTGCGTGCATTGAGCGTGCGTGCATACGTGTGTACGTGTGTGCGTGCATGCGTGCGTGTGTGTGTGTGTCTGTGTGTGTGTGTGTGTTGTGTAAAGGAAAGACTTCATGGGGAACTTGAGCCCAGAGGCTGCACAGGACCTCCCAATGAACAGAATGGAAGTAAAAATCAGGACCTGCTCAGACACCCAGATGCAAGAGGAGCCTGGGGAAATGGTGGCAGAGAGTGGTCTTAACAGACTGGCTCAGCACCAGACAATGCCCAATAACTTTCCAAAAAAGATCAGAAGAGCTGCCTCCAGACCCTCCTCAGGGGGCTTTCTCCTTTCCCCAGGTTCTGAGGCTGTCCCTACAACAGCACCTAACACCCCACCTTAAGTGGCCTAGCCATCACCTCCACCCACGCTCCGCAAGCCAGGGAGCGGGCAGCGGGCACGGAATTCAATAGTCGCCACCAGCAGCCACCTGGAAAGCTGGGGAAAGTCGATACCCTAATCCTGGTGACGTCTCTGGGGAACAGGCCCAAGGCCGCTCCCTGCTCCTCCTTGAGGGAGGGTTGTGGGTGGCTGAGGGACCAACGCCCCATTGAGCCCAGCTCCTCCCTGGCTGATGCCATGGTGACAGGCCCAGGAGAAACAGCCAGGCCACTTCCACTGCCTCAATGGGGATGGGCTGAGGGAGCCCAAAGACCACCAGGGCAGCCAGGGAACACTTTCTAACACTGCCCTTCCCTAACCCAGCCCAGATCTCTTGTTCATGTTATACGGACTGGTGCTCTGCTGTCCCACACAGGGGAAATAGCCCAAGTACAGATGAGGAGCTTGGGGGGGTGCAGGGAGGAGGAAACCTGGAGGCACTGGGGACATGTTTCCAGTAAAAAGCAGTGGCTGCTCTGCTGTGGGAGGCAGCTGGGCTATTTTCTGTGGACTCTGGGACACAGGCTTGGGCCTGGCATTGCTTTTCAAGGGAAAGCAGATGGAAATGGCTTGATGATGCCTGGGTGTGCCATCTGACTGGCAGCAGCATGGGATGCTATCCTTTGGGGTTGCTGGGAAGTGACCAGGGATTGGTGCATCAGGCCATTTCAGCCATTGTAGGTTCATCCCAGACAAGGCATGTGGGCTTAGCTACTACTGGGCCAATGTCACATCCCTAATAGGACCCCTCCTCCTTTATCTGTAAAGACCAAGGAATGTTTACAAGAAAGGATGCTACTCCTAGCCTTTGATCTTGTGCTTCCTGTTTCTATGTGCGCGAGCATGCATGCATGCGTGCGTGCGTGCGTGCGTGCGTGCGTGTGTGTGTGTGTGTGTGTATGGTCCTTGAAGGAACACATAAGCCACATAAGCTAAAGTGTGTTTGGGGGAAAACTGCTTTGGAAGCACTAGACCCTGAGCCAGGTTCTCCCT